ACCTCAGGGCCAATCTTCCTCACCAAAAAATAAAAAAATTGCACAACTATAAGCAGAAGTATTTTCTTAAACTTATTCTTTTTTCAAAAGACAACAAATTGAGGTAAAGAGCATATTATTTACATAAAAGCAATATCCTACAGCCACCTCTACACACTCCCCGCCCAACACCCAGGAAAAAAGATATTAAATGTCTGTTTGAAATGTGTCAGTTGAGACATTAATGTAATTCAATATAAAGAGAAAGTGGTTTACTTTCATTTTGCACATGACACCTCGTCCACCCTCTCACTATTCTCCTTCTGGCCTCTCAATCTGCTGCATCTCAGTCTGCTCTGCCAGCTACTCCTACTCCCCCCAGGCTTGAAACCCTGGAGCTCCTCAGGGTTCAGTCCTGGGTCCTCCTCAGTACTGACTCTTCCCCACTGAGGGGACTCAGCCTACACCATGATTTGCATATCAGCTATAGGCCAATGACACCCAGCCTTACAGGTGGTAAGAAAAATCACCTCCTGGCAGGCCAGGAGCCTAAGCAAATTTGGCAATCTTGAGGAATTCGCCAAAATTTATACGAATTGCAGGTGTAACATGATGTAGAGTTTCTTGGGCTTGGTTTCCAGACTTCAGAAGAGCAAGTAATAGATATACTTCTTTTTCTTAAAAACCGTTTATTTTGAAATGATTATAGGCTCAAAGGAAATTGCAAAAGTAGTACAATGAGTCCCATGAACCCTTCCACTCAACAGCCCCCCAACCCTCCAACATATTATAGCTGTAGCACCATAGCAAATCCAGGGTGATTAGCATAACACTACTACTTTTGCCTGGATTCAAAAATTAAAAAAAAAAAAATCTTGCTGGGATTTTGATAGGGATTGCATTAAATCTATAGATCAATTTGGGGAGACCTGACATCTTTAATGTTTAAAGAGTTTCAAGTCCTTTAGCCACTCATTACTTCTAATTCCACCAAACAATACTCACCAGTATTAGCTGTTCTACTATATAATACCACAGTTCCTCTCTCCTCAATCCACTGCATCCTTTCCCTGCCTCCTTTAAAAAGGAAGAAGCTACTGAGTTCTCAGTAGAAAGTAACAGTAATAAACCCTTATGAGTGTTTATCTTTATAATACCATAACATTCTCGAGTTCCTCAATATAACAACAAGGAAATGGTCTAGATATCAGCAGCTAGTCATTAACTCTTCAGTAAGCATCTTTTCACCTCTACAAGAGGACTATTTTTTTTAATAAAAAGTTCCAAGTTGCTCTAACCTCAATAATAAAACATGTTGTTTTGAAATCTAAACTCAAAAAGCTTACGGAGGAGCAAGCAGAGAAAATAAATCTTCTGACACCTAGTTTAACGCTTTTTCACTATACAATGTTACTAGAAAACAGTTATTTATCAGATCAGTTTGCAAATCAATTTTATAGCTATCCAAAATCAATCTCTTTTATTAATATTTCCATATCTCCATTTCTATCTCTTCCATCTTATTTTCACTTAACATCTCATTTGCAAAGAGGTAATATGACACTTTACCATTGTTTTTTAAAAATATATTCCTAGAAATTTCAAAGGACACTGCATATGTTATTGATTGAAACGTCACAAGGTGCTGAACACTTGGAAGCTGTGCACATATGATTTGATTATTCCTATCATTTGCTACTTTCAATTGCTCATCTATTTCTTGATAAAACCATGCATAAGTGGAGACAAAATTTTCTTGTGAAAGTTTTTATGCTATTAGTAGAGGACCAATAATGTATTTCGTATGTTTGGAAATAAGTTTATTTAAAAAGAACACAAGCAGGGAAAAAGTATTTCCCTCCTTAAACACATCCAGTCTCCACTACTCCCTTTTTGTATTCTCTAATTCCCCGATTTGGAGTTCATAATTATAAAACATTCTGAAACTTGACAAAACATGAAACTCTATGACATGTAGGTTACCATAAAACCAACTCACTTAACACACTACTTTAATCAAACACTTCATTAACTAAAATTAATGGTAGCTTCTCGGCTACCAAGATATGCTGTAAAGTCTACAGTATGGTATTCAAGAGCTTCCACAGTAAGGACCAAAATCTGTCTTTACAAAGTTCTCTCTTACTCAACTCAACGTGATCTCTCATCTCTGGCCAAACTGGTCTGCTGCCCATTCTCCAGAACTGCCATCTGCTTGCTTAGGAGCTTTTCTCCTACCATTGCCTTGTTCTAGAACACCTTCCTCTCTGCCTAGGTATAGGCATTCTCATTCTTCAAAGCCCAACCCTTAAAGGCTTCTCTTATGAGCAATATGATGTTGCACAAAGAGCATAAATTCTGCTATCAGCCTGACTTAGATTTTAATCTAGGTTATGCTACTGACTGACTCATGTCTCTGAGGCTGGGTTTCCTCATCTGTAAAACGGGACAACATCCATTTTAGAGGACATTCAAACCATAGAATTAGTGTTCGAATTAGAATAATATAGGTAAAGTCCAGAGCACATAGTAAGAGTTCAGTAACTATTAGAAATGACCATTAGAATTAAGCTCATTACTCATTTCTATGAGCTCACTGTAATTTGCTTACATGATTCATTTAGCAATTCACAATCTCTCACATGATTCAAAATGGACTCATTTCATCTCTTAGACTTTTGCCCTAAATGATGATTCAACTTGTATTTCTTTAATTTTTATTTATGTCTCCTGTTTTGTGTCCTCAAACAGACTGGAAGCTTCTTAAAAGTCGGAACTAGGGACTAGCCCAGTGGCATAGCGGTTAAGTTCATGTGCTCCACTTCAGCAGCCTGGGGTTCATGGGTTTGGATCCCAGGCACAGACCTACGCACTGCTCATCAAGTCATGCTGTGGCAGCAACCCACATACAAAATAGAGGAAGACTGGCACAGATGTTAGCTTAAGGACAATCTTCCTCAAGCAAAAAGAAGAAGATTGGCAACAGATGTTCACTCAGGGCCAATCATCTTCATCAAAGAAAAAAAAAGTCAGGACTATGTGCTATACTTATTTAAAATTTCACATAGTTTAGCACAGTCCTATTTACAAAAGAGGACTCAATAAATATTTCGTCAGTGAAGCATTTGCTGAAAATAGTCTATCCAGAAAATGGGAATCACATTTTAAGAAGTGCATTGACACACCAGAAGCAGTCCACCGAAGGGTAAAGGGAGAGACAAGGAGGGAGGGAGAAGAGGCATGGAAGTGGGCACAGGGTAAGAGTGTGTGTATAAGACAGTTGGAGAGAGAAGGCGTATGTAAATGATGATAACAAAGAAACTATAGATGTTCAGATGTTTAACCTAAAGAAAAGACAACTTCAGAAGGCATGATAACTGTAAGATAAACTAGATTATTATACATGTCTCTGAAGGCAAAATTCTAGGACCAACAATTAGGAGAAAAAGAAATTCAGCTTAACATAGACTAAAATTCTATAATATCAGAGCTGTTCAACAATGGAATAAATAGGATTCATTTAAGATTAAGTACCTTGTAAAATTAGAGGTACTTAAGCAGAGCTCAGGGTTGAAATGGTTTTCAATCCACATGTCAGTATCAGAAAGACAGTTGTTACCTATACTGCTGTGTTGAGAAGAATCATAAGACAGCATATATAGTCAGTGGGAAAGGGTCTTGTGATCAGTTAAGAATCTTTGTCACAAGCCTGGCAGAACGGAGGGTAACACAAAAACCTTACATTCACTATCTCCAATCTATATGAATTATTTTCAGAAGCAATCATTCCTTGTCGAGAATTTAGACATGAACGGGGAAAAGTTTCTCTAAACTCCATGAGTCTAAGACTAACATTGTCTAAATGTTCAATTAAATGAAATTTTTAAAGTATTTGTAAATGATGGTCCTCAGCTAGGACCTGGGGTTACTGTTTGAGTAAAAAAAAAAAGTGCTTTGGTTTCTCATCCTGTAATTCATTCTTGAGATCACAGTACCATCTTAAAAACTGAATTGTGCTTTACTATTTTCAAAGGATGTTCACGTTTTTATTTTCAATAAAATTTGTGACTATCAGATATCAACAGAGAAAAGCATATGAATAGGCAAGAGCTAAACTGAGATCTGATAGATACAACATTTTTAACCAAAATATTCTTTCTTTAATAATGTCCTAGAACTTCATTACTAATGAAATCAATCAGCATAAGATACCCACATCTTAAAAAAACAAACACTGAAACAGAAACTATCTCATCTTCCCACATTTCTGTTCTTCAGAGATTACTGTCATCATCCACAACTTAAAAGAAAGAGTCACTGCCGTCTTAGAGCAGAAGTTCTGCAAGTGTGTTCAGTGGACCAGCAGCAGCATCACCTGGGAAGGTATTAGCAATACCAATTCCCCAGCCCCACCCAACCTACCAAATCAGAAACTTGGACCCAACAATCTGGGTTTTAATAAGCCCTCCACGTGATTCTCAAGCATGCTAAAGTTTTCAAACCACTGTCTTAGAAAACGGTCCAGTTTCTTTCCACCATAGCTGTATCCCTTTACCGGCTTCTCCTTAGCATCTCTTTACTCTTTCTCACATTTTACACAACTCAAAGATTTTCTCGTTTGAAAGATTAATTCACCAGTAACTTTGTGACTTCCTATCTTCTTTCCTTTTAAAATGTGAGACTGCCTGTTTAAACCATCCAATACATTAAAAAATTTTTATTATACATAAATTATTATCAGCTGTTTACACAGAAAGAGGTTTTTAACATGTGTCAACAGGTATAAGAACAATCCTGCACAAAAATCATTTGGTAAATAGGCCCACTTTTTTCTTTTCATTCCATCTTAAACTATATACATTATCATACACATGTGTAGGGAGAATTTTAAATAAACCATTGCACTTGTCAATCAGTTCACAAAGAAGAAATTATTCCACAGCCATCAAAATTATTACTTTCCTACAAAAACATCTCTTTGAACATTTATACACTCCGCCCCCTCACTGAGTCTTACTCACCTGTGTACATAATGCAGCTGATGCACTGAATCAATTGCTATCACCATCTCAGCCAAGTAGAATCGAGCCATATCTTCAGGCAATCTATCTTCAAATTTGCTGAGCAGAGTAAGCAAATCCCCACCAACATAATAATCCATAACCAGGTACTGGGAATGAAAAAAATAAAATGTACTCAATAAATAATAAGGTGAAAAATTAATATATTTAATGTAACTCAAGGTCAAATAGCACTGGATCAAACACTTGTGTTGTTAATTAACAAGAAGCTGTGTAAGATGATCATCAGTAGTCATTACAAGAGTTGTAAATTTCATAAAACAGTAAAATAAAATTTTCAAAAATTGGGGCCGGGAACATAGGACTATCATTGTTTTGTTGTTGCAGCTTACAAAGTAACAACATGGAAAAGCAACACCGTCATCATCACCTACAACAGCAGACTACAGTTTTACCAACATCTCACAGAAGGATGAACATTTTAATTCTCCAAAAAGGCTTTTAAAAACTCAGAATAAAACACAGTTCTTTATGCTGAATAAATTCATCTTCACTGTCACTACATTTTCCTTATTTCATCTTGGACCAGTAACAACTTTATTATAACCAGCACTTGGAAACCACTATATACATGTTTCTCTTCCCATTTCTGACAGTGTACAAATATCAGAATGGACTTTTCGTAGGTATATATAAACAGAAGACAACTAATTTTAGATAGAGACTCTGATGGGTATGTGTGTGCATTGTGATTTATAATAAGAGATACATATATTTTGGCACAGAGCTCCTAAAAATCCTTGGAATTTCCTAAGTGATGGATAAGGGTGTCTTTCGGTATTGATAACAAGCCCCTTTCAACCACACCTGAGTTTATGTTAATGAGATGACTTTTGGAAAGTCCTAACCTAAGGCTGGGAACTGGTTGCCAGGAGAACACCAAGCTTAGAAGGCTGGAACTTTCAGTCCCATCTCCCTACCTCCCACCCCCAAACTCCAAGGAAGGGAAAGGGGTGGAGGGGTTGAATCAATCATCAATTAATAATGATTTAATTGACCATGCCTATGTAATTAAGCCTTCATAAAAAACCCAAAGGGATGGGGTTCAGAGAGCTCCCAGGGTTGCAAACAAAGGGAGATGCTGGGAGAGCAGCACGCTCTCAGAGGAGGCATGAAGCTCCCCACCCCTTTCCTCATACCTTGCCCTCTGCATCTCGTTCATTGGGCTGTTCCTGAGTTCTATGAGCTGCTCTAGCAAATTAATCAAACCGAGGAGGGGTTTGCGAGAATCTCCAATCTTGGTCAGAAGCACAAGGAACAGCCTGGACTTGTGACTTGACTAGGGAGGGGTGGGCAGTCCTGTAGAACTTGACCCCTTAACCTGTGGGATCTGACACTATCTCCATGTAGACAGTTACAGAATTGCGTTAAACTGTAGGACACCCTGCTGGTGCCGCAGAAATGCTTGGTGTGTGGAACACCCATCATAAGAAAAGACAATATACGCCAAAATGCTGACAGGGATTATCTCCGGGTTCTTAGATTACAGACGACGTCACAGCTTTCTGCTGTGTTCTACACTGCTTTATAAACATGTACTACATATACAGGTGTATGTTATATTATTTTATTTTATTTTTTAAGGTGAAGGAAACCTAGACATAGTAGAAAGATGGGCTTTATGGTCAGAGAGACCTGTATGCAAATCCTTACTCTGGGTTATATGTAGCTTCTGAAAAATTATTTAATCTCTTTGATACTATATTTTCTCAACTACAATAATGATACTTTCTCCACATTGTAGTACTTAGCATGAAGGCTAGTAAATAGAAGATATTTAAATGTCAGTTATAATGCCTAGAAGTTATGATTTTATTACTGAATGAGATATTATTTCAGAGATATCACCAAATTAGCACTAAGATTTAGAGTCTCGAGAAGATCCACATTCTTATTACTACACTCTAAAATTATAAGTCCAGGCAATTTTTGCTTAAAAAAACACTAATTTCGGCTTTTAAATCTTTGAAAATTAGGGAAACAATATATTTCAAATCCTGGTCTATGGTTTATTTGCTATATTTACTAGGCCTAACGTTTAGCAGACTCTATCATGAAGATTAGAACTAACCAATTTAACGTAATAAAATTTTGTTAACATAAACATGTTGCTTGAAATGGCAATGGATGTGGAGAAGAAATCCACATCTCTTACTTTAAAAAGAAGTACTCTGAGTAGCAAACATGGAAACTTTTCAAATAAAGAAAGCAAGTCTGCTGTTAAAATTGGAATCCAATATTTATACATAGAAAGTGACAGAATATAACTCATTCCTTCAACAAACATTTAGTAGGTGCTAATCAGGACTTTTTTGTACCAAATACAGATAAAAAACCCAGAAGATAGAGAGATGAAAGGTCATATGTCAAAGGCTTTCCTCCCAACCGTGTACTCTATTCCTGGCACACCCGAGTCCTAACAGTCTGAGTACACCACCTACCAGCAGCTTCTAAAAAGTAATTCTCTCAACATTTCTGCCACCCATGGTCACCACTCAAGTGGTGGTCACCTTGAGTCATCATCTGTCTTCTACTTTCCTTCACATACTGCTATGTGCTTCCTCTTAATAAACCCCAAATCCCATGGATCTCTTCTCTTCCAGCCTTTCCATGTGCTTTACTGAACCTCTTCTATGGTGAATAAACTTCCTCGAGACAGAATAAAACATGATGAATACACACGTATTCCCAGTTTTCCTCTCCTGCTGCCTGCTAGACAGTCCTGGCTTTGCCTACTACGTTGTTTCCCTGCCTTGCCCTCAGAGGTAAATTAGCTGTTACGAAGACAGAATCCAGCAACTGGGAGAGCAAGGGGCAGAAAACACAGAAGAACATTCTCAAGAGAAAAGCAATGAGTTGAAAATGAACTGTACTTGCTATGGGGTTTCAGTGTTAGGGAGACAAGGTACATCAGAAAAGGCAGACAAATAATAACCTCAAGTGGGAAAAAAAGCTCTTTTTCCTCTGTAATAAATCCCAGTGCATGTCTCCAAGACCTGGAAGCCATTCTTTTATGTTTTCCCCTTTATTCACCATAACATTCTATTAAATCACCAAGGTCTTGTTGAATCTACTTCCCACTAAATTTCTGTGGAATCCACCTACTTCTATCCCTACCCACTATCACAATCCTATTCCAGGCCCCTGGCCTCCCTTAACTATATCACGACTACAGGTTTAAGGGCAAAGTAGATAGATTTCCACAATATGTTTTATTGTGTAAATAATCTTCTTGAGAATGGAAAATAGGATACAGAACACAAGAGGAACAAGTAAGTTCATTCACTAATAACACAGACATTTATCTAAGTACTTACTATGTGCTGACAGTACACTTATGCAACTGAGATACTAGAATGAATAAGACACACCTTCATGGAATTTACAATCTAATGGAGGAGAAAACACAAATTAATGGGTAATTTCAGTATAATATAATTTGACAGGGATAAGCATAGGGTATTGCTGTAGGTTCTTAATGGAAAAGAACCCAACCTTTGAATCAGGTTCATTCGTCTGAAATTTATTTTTGTACAAGGTGTGAAGACTATTTTCTTATTTATAGAGGGTCAAGTATCTAAAACAGTTAAATAGCTAAAATAAATAGTTTAATAAATAGTTTAAATAAACAATTAGTTAAATAATCCATTCTTTCCTCCAATTTAATTGAAATGCTCCCTCATTGTATTTTAAGACGATAAATACACTTGGATCTGTTTCTAGGTATTCTATTCTGCTATGGTCGTCTATTCCTATATCAATATCATATTTTTCTGATTAATTTTACAGTAAAATTTAATATGTTGTAGGATAAGTTCTTACTCATGGACTACCTTTAAAATATTACTCAATATGGCTAAGGTATCTTTAAACAAGTTTAAGGTGTCTTTAAACAAGTTTAAGACTGAGAGGTAATATTCACAAGACAAGACAAGAAGAAAAGAATCCTAACATAAAGAGATCCTACCAGTTGTTCAGAAGGGGACATCCAATCAAACAAAACTGGGCTGAGGGTATTAACAGAAGAAGAAGAAACACAATTAGCCAATTAACACATGTTCAACTTCAAGAGCAGTCAGGAAAATGAGAACCAAAGCAACAGTGAGATACCATTTTTCACCAATCAGATCAGCAAAAAGACATGACTGCTCTAGGGAGAGGGATGCGAAACAAAACTGCTCTTGGGGGGATGACATACTACGACCCCTTCAGAAAGCACCTTCACAGTATCTGTTGAAATTTTAAAAGATGTTCATACCCTTGATCTAGCATTTCTACTCTTAGGAAAATAGTCAATTAAAATAAAAGCTCTACCAAGTAAGGAATATGGGCAAGTATGTTTATGGCACAGCACTGTTGATAACTGCACCAAATCAGAAACAATACAAATGGAGATCAACAAGGAAACTTGCATGGTTCCATTCAACATATCCACTCTATGACACATTATACAGTTGCCTAAAAGAATAAATATATGCCCAGGAGATAGTTTAAGGGACAAAAGTAAGCTGCAGAGTAATATATATTTTGTGATCCCATTTTTATAAAAAAGAAAGAAAACATACATACATACAGAAACATACAATTATATAAAGCATGAAAAAAAAAGAAAGGATACAGCAAACTTAACGTTAGTTACCTCAGGAGGGTGAAATGAGAGACGAAGGTAAGGACCACTAACTTTTCAGGTATCTAGACCTCTGATCGTAGAGGGAAAAGTCTAGTCAAATTGAAGTCGACCAATGGAATAAAGTTCTACAAAGGGCCAGAGGTGACGAAGTCAAAGGCAAAGGTTGGAAACCCTAAAGATAAAGCTACACCTCCTCCCCACTGAGAGAAAAGATACAAAGGACAAATATGGCTAATTTGATATCCATACAGGGGTAGGGGGCATGAAAGGAATGCTGAGGCCAGGGAGTGGAAAGTTAGGAAACCTCACGCTTGAGTAACCAATGGGTGTATTTTCTCCATAAAGTAGGTGCTACAGAATGAGGGTGAAGGAAAATTTATATAATGTCCCTATACTGGAGATAAGGATCAAACTGTTATTCCTGCTTTATGGTTATGTAATCACAGGCAAAAGAAGTCA